ACTGAGTTTAGTTTATATATGTAAGTTAATTTTCATTTCAACAAAAATCATAATTTTGCTTATGTGTATACACCAAAAAAAAATTCATAATAGTCTAGATTCAGCTGCAGGACTGCTAATTCAACTGTCAAACATGAAACCTATTTTAAGATTATTAATGGTAAAATAATAATTAAAAAAAATTTTCCTCTTATATCTTTTCAAAATAAAATATTCTTTTTTTGGTTAATATGTTCAGAATTGTCTTTATATACAGAATTGTCTTTATATATTGTCTTTATATTAAGCCAGGGATATTACGAAAAAAAGGTCGATAATTTAAGGTACCTTAGCCAAAAAAAATTGAGAACCGAAAGTATCTATAACTGATAGTATCTTTAAAGTATCTATAACAGACTCAGAACCAAAATCAGCTTGTTTCATTACGAAAGACTTGATGTTTTTAAACCTGTGTGTTGTAAGGGAAAATATAAAATGCTCTTAATTATTTTTTATTTATTTATTATTATTTATTTATTTTTTGCTAAGATCAGAGAATTTTGATATAATTTTTTTTCATATAGTGAAACCTGTTTGTTCAAAAAATGTTTTTTTTTAATTTTTTTTGATTACATAAAAACTTAACCTTTAAAGAACTTTAATTATTTCTAAAAACACCAAAATAGTCCAAAATATTCTTAATTCAAAAAATTCTGTAAAATTGATGAAAATAAATTTGATTAGTTTTAAAATCAAAGTTGAAAGCTGCATAGATTTTTAGTTACATATTTTTTAATTTATTTTGTTAATTTTTTTACAATACATTTCTTAAAACTTTTATTAATATTATATGTATTGATGAATTTTTAAGATGAAAATTACTATTAATCCTTTTTAAATTTTAGATTTTTTCACTAGGTATGTTAACTTTCATATATTTGACTATATTAAAAGCTATATGATATGTATGATTATTTATACATCATTTTGGTGTATAAATAAACTGGAACAACTTTGCCTAGTGGAACTATTTTTTGACATCTTGACAAGTTTTTGGACCATACAGTAGAAGTGATGACTTCTTAAATCAGCTCAATAGTTTTGTTCTAATTTTTGTTATTATTTTACTGTCTACAGTTTTGTTCTACTTAATAGTACTGTTCAATTGTCTACTCTATAGTATTCAACTATAGACTTTATAGTTTTGTTCTACTGTCTAACTATATTTTAACTATACTATATACTACACTATATTTTTGTTCTAGTCTGTAGTACTGTGATACTGTTTATAGCTTCACTGTTCATTTCATAGTTTTGTTTTTACAGTTCTTTTTACAGTTTTGTTCTACTGTCTACTCTATAGGTTTATTCTTCCTTGTAGTATTACGTTGTTGTCTATAGTTGTGTTCTACTTAACAAAATTGTTCTACAGTCTACTCTATATTTTTGTTCTACATCTACAGTTTTGTTCTTTATTATAGTTCTGTTCTATTTTTTAAAATTGTGTTCTATCGTATGCTGTTTGTTCAGAAATTTGTCCCCTGTCAAAAATCCCCTTTCAAAAACTTGGCAAAGTTGTCCCAGTTTTTGTTAGTTTTGGAATAAGTTTATAAAGTAACTTGTGTGAATTTTTTCAACTCTCATTATTTTTTAAGTGTTATTATTTAAAGCATTATACTTTTAGGAAGCTGCGTTCAGCGGTACTTCGTGCTTTAATGAGATTTGGTGATGAAGACACTATAAACAAGGCAAAACAGATTTTCCAAAACTGGCTGAAACTTCAAGTGAAGTAATTTAATTTTTTATATTGATCAATTGACACTTCATTAATCTTATTTAGCTTTTGTTTCCTGCTGTCAGTTTTTGTAGCTCAAAAAATTTTGGTTTGTGAATTCTTTTTGGTGAAATAATCAACAAAGGGAATCATTGCATTGGTTGTGATTGTGATATATCTGGTTTTTTCTTTATTTTTTTAAAAAAAAAGCTCAAATTTTTAATTAAAATGAAAAGACTATTTTAAAAAGTTTATTTTGATTTATCAACATTAAGTGGTTATTTTCAAGTTTTAAGCATATTTAACCTGTTTGTAAACAAGTTTATTTTGTCTTTCAGAAAAAACATTCTTAGTAGAAAAGTGCATAAAACCGAATCAATTCTTGTCAAAATGAATTTAATTGAAGTGTTTAATTGAATTCTTATATTGATTTATTAAATATATTTTCATTGGGTGTTTGTAAGAGTGCTTTATTTTCCATTTTCGAAAATGATATTTTTTCTTCGCCATGTCAATTTTCTCCACATATTATGCAAAAGCGTATTTTTTACATTGTTCTATTCAACGTTTTCACAATTCATTCAACCACAACCTGTTTCATCTTACCGTCGGTCCATAGCATATGAAAGAGTCAATCAATTTACAGATTTGATGAAATATTCACGAGTCCGCATGTGAGCTGGGTTCGATTAGAGTATTGCACTCTTGTGTGCTGCTCTTTGCAAGATATTCTAAATTTCAAGCTTCATTTTACACCCTCTGATATTGAACCGAAAAATCTCTTTCAACAGTTCCTTGTCGCAAATTACTAGTTATTTTATCATGATCATGTAAAGTCTTTGAAAATTTTGCATTTTGTTAATGTATATGGTGCTTAAAAATATATTTTGAGTGCGTAAGTACTTAAAGGTGCATATTTTTTGTTGAAAGTTTTAGCTATGCACCCTGATAAAGCAACTTGTTCAATGTACAATGCATGAAGCAAAGTGTAGGCTCAATGTTCATAAAATATTTGATGCAGAGAAGTGAATTTGTAATAGTAGAATGTTCCTCATTTTAGAGTGGCCCCTAACCTGAGGAGTGTTGTGTACAGCACAGGAGTGAAATTTGGTGGTAAAGAGGAGTGGCAGTTCTGCTGGAAGAAGTACCAGGAAACTCACATACCATCTGAAAAGAGATTGTTGCTCACAGCTCTAGGATACACACAGGATATGTGGCAGCTATCTCAGTAAGTTTTTATTTTATTTTAATGACCACCTTCATTCAAGTTTCATAGCTGCCAACTCTACTGGATTTTCCAGTTTATTCAACTCTTCTTTTAGTAACTTTTCTTCTTAAATTTTCTTTTTACAATTTAATATGTAATTCTATGTGTACATACGATGTCTGGTGTCTGGGTGGTAGCTCTCTCGTGTGACAGATCCTTGGTTCGATTCTCGGGCTGGGCAAGGTTCACTCAACCTCTCATCCCTTCAATGGGTCAATGAAATTAGTACTTAGAATTCTTGGGAACTAAACACCGGGGGTTCTGCGCCCAGCTAACCACCCAAAGTCAAGTAAACTAAAAGTCAAGTAAACTGAGATGGGTACTCTCTCTATGGGCTGTCTCATCACTGAGTTTAGTTTAATATGTATACATACTTTTTTATTTATTTTATAACCAACATTGAACAGTAAACTCATTTTTGGGTTTATGACTTTCAACATGCAACTCCATAGCTATTCATTTATGAACCAACCTAGAAGACATTGGAACTCCTGGATTTAGCATTAGGCAAAACTAGGTATTATGAGGACTTTAATGATAGGACATTTGTGTTTAAAGCTACATGTAGTAGCAATGGGATTCTAACTCATGATCTATTTATCACTGAGGATATTTTATGTCTGCTTTTGCTGTCAATGTAAGCCAGGATTAAAATTTGATTTGATGAGCCATCACGGAGATTCGAACCTTCGACGTGTCATTTGGGGGAGATGTTCAATTCCTTAAGCTACTGATGTCTTGTACACATACTTAGAATTTTTTTAACTTGTTGTTGCATGCATAGTTTGTTCCCTATACGCAAATTTTTCATTTTGGCTTACTCAATGCTCACACTCATAGCTTTTTCTTACTTAATCCCTCGTTTCTTCCCTTTCATAAATAAAATAGTGTAATGACAGTGATGCCAACTTTCTACACTTTGTTGAAAAATTTCTTTTATTGGTAGGAAAGTTTATGTTTTAATGTATGATACCTTGTTAAGTAAATTTGACATACATGATAAAAGTTACTTTTCACAATATTGTTGATGACTTTATATGGACATTTGAATATGTGAATGATTCAAATGCTTATATAAAGCCACTTTGTTCTATTTCTTCCATAGTGAAACTTAAAATATTGGCAAAATAACCCGCAGTTCCGAAAATCGTTTTTGAGTGTCTTACTTACTTACTTATCCTTTGGGCACTTAAGGCCTCTAGCATATCCTTCCAACGCCTCCTGTCTCCAGTAATAGATCTTGCTTCCTCCCAGCCAGATATTCTACATTCTTTTAATTCGCCAAAAAACATGCGCTAAATGTTAAGTCTGGGTCTTCCTCTTGTTCTTTTACCATCAGGGGCCCATGTAAGCGCAACAGATGTAATTTTTTCTTTGGGCATTCTAAGGATATGTCCGAACTAGCCCCATCTTCGTTTTTTAATTTCATCTTCTATTGTTTTTATTTTAGCTTTCTTTAATAGACTTTGACTTGATACTTTGTAAGGCCAGAAAATTTTAAAAATAAATCTTAAACATTTGTTTTGAAAGGTTTCTAATTTTTATGTTTCGATCTTAGTCTGTTTCCAGGTTTCTGCGCGNGAAAACCGTTTTTGAGTGTCTTACTTACTTATCCTTTGGGCACTTAAGGCCTCTAGAATATCCTTCCAACGCCTCCTGTCTCCAGCAATAGATCTTGCTTCCTCCCAGCCAGATATTCTACATTCTTTTAATTCGCCAAAAAACATGCGCTAAATGTTAAGTCTGGGTCTTCCTCTTGTTCTTTTACCATCAGGGGCCCATGTAAGCGCAACAGATGTAATTTTTTCTTTGGGCATTCTAAGGATATGTCCGAACTAGCCCCATCTTCGTTTTTTAATTTCATCTTCTATTGTTTTTATTTTAGCTTTCTTTAATAGACTTTGACTTGATACTTTGTAAGGCGTGAAAATTTTAAAAATAAATCTTAAACATTTGTTTTGAAAGGTTTCTAATTTTTGTAATTTGATCTTAGTCTGTTTCCAGGTTTCTGCGCCATATAATAGTACTGCTCTTGCAATAGCGAGAAGGAAAGCTTTGTCAGTAACTGTTATACAGTTTAAGAAATTAAAAAAAGAAAATTCTTTGTTCTATAGCATTTTTCTTTTTTACACATAAATTTTGTGTTTTGCCCTTAATTCATATATTTTACGATAACTAATTAAATGTAAAAAAAAAAAACATTGCAAACATACAGTTTGCAATGTTTTGCATTGAAAATGCAATGTTCATATGCATATGTTCAAAATGTGAGTTGCAAATGCAATGTTTGCAGTGCAATGTATGGGCTACTAATTTTTAATTTAAACCACTGGCAGTTCTGCACAAAGAAAATCTTACATTTCTTATCTTCTCAAATGGTTTTGCATAAGAGAAACACATTCCATTTTCTACTCACAGGCTTTTCTGTTTGTGGAAAAGACTTTAGACTTTTGCCTTCCAATGAGATGAACCAGGTTTGAATCCCAGCAATGGCTGGCCAATACAAATTCCGCATCTGACTTGCGTCAACTACAGTGCTGATGTAAAATATCTCCAGTGGCAGGCAGATCATGGGTTAGAGTCCCACAGCCGTTAGGCTAATCATGGGAAGTTTTCACGGTTTCCACTCCATGTATTGAAGATGCGGGTTAGTTCCATCAAAAAGTCCTCCACGGTGGCAAAATTTCTCCCAATACATGATCCAGGAGTTCCTTTGTCTTCTAGATTGGGTTCAAAATTATAAGGGTATGGATTTGAACTTTAGTAGTCGTAAACCCTAAAATTTGGGTCAACTGTTTAATGATAGTTATGAAATGAAATAAAACGAAATACTACAGCTTTCTGACTGGAGGGTTGGGGAATTTACCTGGATCAAAGTTGTATTAAGTGGCTGGGTGGCACAGTTGGTTTGTCGTCGGCCTTCTGAGCCCAAGTCTGCGGGTTCGATCCCCGGCCCAGACACCGGATTTTCCGGATGCAGAAAATCCTCAGAGGCCATGTGGTATGATTATGCGGCATGTAAAAGATCCCTGGAGTGCCTTATTGGCTCTTGGCATTTCCGGCAAAATTAAATTCCTAGTGCACTTTAGCATCCAAATAGAGTCTCGGTGCTGCCATCTAGTGTGGCAGAAACTAGACGTCCAAATTAACATGACCAACGGTATCTCACCCATTGTGGTGGTCCTGAAAGAGTGGATACCACCTCTGGAGAACGCACTAGGTCTGCTCATCGGCAAGACCGATTGTGCAGCTCATTGGAAATAAATTTAAAAAAAGTTGTATTAAATAAAGCGTAAACATTTTGAACTAATAAAAATGAAAATGTGAAAACTACCAGTGAACTAAAGTTACTTGAATTAATCCTTAGATAAAAATAAATTTTATTTAAAATGTTCATTTTTTAGTTAAAATATTTTTCATTTCACTCACTTTCTCCTTTCCCACTAGATACTTGAATTATTCTATGGACAAGGATAAAGTTCGACCACAGGACACAGCCCTAGTCATCAGTATTGCTGCTCGCAATCCTATTGGCCGCCTTATCACATGGAGATTTGTGCGCATGAACTGGTCTTATTTTGTGGAAATGTATGTATTTTTAAAGTGGATATATGCTTGAAATTGAAAATGTCAGACATGTTTTTTTGTGTGTTAAATTGAGACTAAACTTACCATAAACAATCAACTGACTGTTTAAGAAATTTTGCATCAAAAATGCGCTTATCATCTAATCGGTTTTGCACATTTGACTTAATGATTTTTTCTTACAATTATCTACAGTTAATATTCTATTGTTTTTATTGCATTTTTTTGTATTTTGTTGTTTTTCTCGAATAATTCTTGTCGTATACCCATTTCTACCATTATTGGTCATTTGACCGGGAGAACATTTTATTGCTTTATAAGGTTATCGGATCAGAAATCACGATGTAATGCCTTTTCAGCATATTGCATTCAATGAGTTGCACATTTCTGCAAAGACTGTTGCGTAGTGAGTTCAATCAGAATAACTGTGAATTCAAATTTCAAGACAGCTCTTAAAATTTTAGTTTGGCATTTTTGTGCAAGAAAAAGTGACAAAAACTAAATGTTTTCGTAAGTAGCTTATATTATATTTTGATAGCTTTACTCCATTTCTAACTAACTGTTAGTTTTTACCTAGAAAAATGTCGAAACAATCAAGGCAGCAAAAGTTTTTAGAAGAAATAATATTAATTATAAGAATAATTATAAGAATTATAGAAATAATATTATTTAGAAGAAATATGTTTGCTGAAAATGTACAATGGAAACACCCTGTATATGTAAAAAATGCATTGAGCAATGAATTAAAAATTCTTATTCTTTGTGTTTATAATACATAAAAATCAGCAATATACAATTTTGTTTAATTATAATAAAGTTTTTTTAGTTTATATCCTTCCTAACATCCATATTTCATGCATTCAATCAAGCAGCATAAATTCCGGTCATTTGACCGGCTATGGTAGAAATAGGTATATATTAAGTGTTCGTATGTTTAGTGTTAAAACTCAACTGTTTAGTTGAAGTAAAGTATTCCCCATGAAATCTTGGATTGAAGAACAGAGAGTAAGAATAGAAAGTATTATTTTTCTGATTTATAAATTAAACTCACTTATGTACGCAAATCAAAATTTTCCCAGCATTTAGAAAATATTGAATCGTAATTTTCATTGTAATTGCCACAGAAGAATAAAGGATTAATAAATATATTAAATAGTTATTAGTTAAAAATAATTTTTTGGAAATTAAGATATGTAATGGCTTATCTGTGTGTCAACATTATTAATAGATTTATCAGTAAGAAATAAAATAAAATTGAAATGAAACACATATTTTAAAGATTTTAAAGTCTGTGCTATATTTTTATTTAAACATTATGAGATATTTTTCACAATTTAAATTAAGATTTATTATCTTCTGTTCAGCTAAGATGATTCTGATAAAATTTAAGTTATTTATCAATCTATTAAGTTATAAGTTATTCTCTGTATTAAGTTATTTATCAATCTCTCTTCAAAGGATCATTATGGAAAATAATAATTTTTAAATGCTTTGTTTAATAAAATTCAAATAATTTAGGTAAAAACATGAGTTAATAAGTTTTATTATTTTTTTCATTGTTCAAAAATTTAAAAGAAAAAATGAAAAAATATAAATACTTATAGAAGATCTCTATAGCTATTCTTTTGTAACTTTTCAGTTAAAAGTTAACAAATTAATTACTCCAAATACAACATTATAGACACAATACAGATTTCTTTGACTACCATTCCCTTATCAACACAGGATCAACACAACTATTTTTTAGGTCAAATTTCAATATTTTTAAATTTTTCTTTAATGGTTTTTCATGGTGCATAGCTTTTTTAAAAGCCCTTAAAGGTTCATTTTTCATTTGGGTTTTTTTTAAAAGTGCTTTATTTTCCACTGTTTTTTGCTTTAGTCTATACTGCACAAAGTGTACCCTATCTTCCTTTTTATGTAACATGTGTTTTAGGTTATATGGGCTGAAGGTAGTTATTAGAGCTCCCTCATTTTTACGAATTTACAGATGGTGTATTGTCTGTATATTTTGATTTTTCCTACAGGAGTAAAAATTAAAAAAATTATGTCAGTCAGTAAGAGGCATTAAAGAATATTACTAGTTCATGCACTAATCTATTCATATGCCCTATTAATTTTTTTTAAGTTTAAGGAAGTTGATAAAGTGAATTTTAATTTAAAAAAATTATAATATAGAAAATGTGTGATGTTTTTAATTGTAATGAAACAAGCTATTTTGTGACAAAAATAAGGAAAACAAATGCAGATTAAAACATGAAACTAATGATCAGTATAACTTAGTTCAGGAGACCGCACATAATTTGTTTCTTTGTGGTCCGAGACCAACAGACTAATGTTCACATTTGTTTAATTTATTAATATACTTTGGAATATGTATGCACTAACCTTAAAATTTGTAATATGTATATTTGATTTTATAAAAGCATGAGTAGGCAGTAGATTTTAGTAGCATTTTTGCTATCTATTGTTCCACTGTATAATCTACTGTATTTTAAACAGTTACAAAATTATTTGTTGGTTATTTTGTTATTATTTAATCATTTATTATTGTAACATTTTTTTGAACAAATAAATAATTTTTATATGGACATATAAACTTTTCATTTTTTATTTAGTTTAGTAAGAACAAATTTTTTTTACTTTATTTTAATATTATTATTATTGTTTTTTTAAAGGTTTGGTCCAGGATCATTTTCAATGGATATGATCTTATCCGAATCCATTTCTCACTTCAGTTCGAGGTTTGATTATGACGAAGTAAGTCAATGCTGCCAATTTAAAGAATTAATTTTCGTGAAATTTTACTCTCATCAAGGAAAAGCAAGGATGTTGTTTGATACTCAGAATTATTTTTAATTTTCTCCTTTAACTATTACTAACGAAGGAAAGGAAATTTTTTTGCTTGCATAATATACTTAAAGTTTTCTTATAATTATATCAACATAAATCTGCTGCATGCTATTTTTTTCATACTGGAGGATTGCACATCCGAGGGGAAGCGTCATAACTTATTTTAAATACCCACTATGAAAACTCCTTTAATTCTTTTGCAGTTTTCAAGGCTTTGAAAATGTTTAACTTCCTCCAATAATCCTTGAAAATTATTCTCGAAATTTTAACTAATAAATTATAAATGATCAATCAGAACATTATCTTGATCAAACAGGTATTGCAAAAGTGGGAGAGGAAGCTTTGAAATCTAACAAAGAACCAAATTCATTGGAAATAGTTTTATTCTTTCCTTATAATAAAGCAAATTTTTTTTAAATCAAAATTGCTTAAAGGGAACCTCAACTGTTTCACTTTCTTTCCAGGTCAAAAGTTTTTTTCATGGCAGAGATGTGGGTACTGGTGCTCAGTCTTTACATCAAAGTCTTGAACGAGTAAGAGCGAACATCAAATGGCGGCAAAATACAGAAGCCTCTTTGATTCAGTGGTTGCAGCATAACAGCAATTGAGTTTTATAAGCTTTTTCTAATTCATTCTATTTTAGCTCTGAATCTTAGATGTTTGTGTTAAACAAAATGTTTTAGGCATGTGCTGCCAAGATTTCTGAAGTGCTCCGACTGAGCTCAAGGAAGGTATAAATTTCCTGCATTTTCATGTGGAAAATAAGGAGAACACTAAGGAGTAATTAATGGAATACTTTTTTTTATTTATTATTTAAATTATTTGTAGTTTATCAAAAAATGTTAGGTTATGAAATTTCTTTATAGTATTTAATTTTAAAAGAATCCCTATGATCTGTCTTGCAATGCAAATTAATCATACAATTCATATGTTGAATTATTGTTACACTTTACACAAAATTGAAATGGCACTGCAAATTAGGAAGAAAAAAATTTACCGCATTTAAGTATTCTTAATAAATTTTTAGATTTCAAAAACTTTGTTTTATGACTTTCGAATGCTAAACTTTTTTATTTTAACATTCTAATCAGTCTTTAACTTTAAAATGTACCTTCAAAACAAAGAAAAGCAGCTATTGGTAGCAAATTAATAAAAGTAATAGTTACTTTATTTTTATACTCTAATTGTGGAAAGTTTGGAATTAAAATAACAAAACTCGAATGTTGTGAATGGTAAAATTTTTAAGCTACCCAGAAACTAAAATATCCTTAAATAGGGTAAAATTTTATCTTATTTATTTAGTACAAAAATTATTAACTTTTGTTGGACCAAAAGCCAGTTATAATTTCGAAGTGTTAATAAACAGTTAATAAAAGTGATAAGCATTATGGTTGTATGTCACCATATAAGTTTTCTATTGTTTGTTATTAATGTGTTGTTTTCCTCTACTACATTTATTTTCTTTTTCCTTGTATTTCCTGCTGTATATTGAGATATACTATGTTTTTGTTAATCCTTTTTATTGTGACACATCCTATATCACTTTAGGTTTTTATGTAATTTATTTATTTAAAAAAATATTAATCATATTAGATTTTTTTTTTAATTTTTCTTAATGATACATTAAGCATTTAATTTTTAAAGAACATAGCAAAATTTTAATCTACAACAAGTTACCTCACTGAAATCTTGAATTAATTGAAAAACATTTTTAAATGCAACAAATGACAAACCTGATTCATTTTTTTTAGTTTTCATAGTAATTACTATACCAAATTTCTTTTGAAATATATTTTCCCCAATAAGTGCAAGCATGCATGTGTACCATATGTATAATTTACTTCTCTGTACCTTGCATTGAATTCTCTTTTTGAGTGTTGTCATATCTGTTTACATATTGCTGTTTAAATGCTTTAGCTCCATGTTTTATTACATACCCAGAGCATGGAGCTTTTCACATATTATTGACACACTTCTTTATCACATACAATAAAAAACTATTACAGCGATTTCGAATAAATTTTTCTAAAATATTGTAAAAAGTATAAAGATGTGCGACTCTTTGTCTGCAATCTCTCAATGCAGTCAGAGGGAGATTCAGCTTGATAACATTTAACAAAATATGTAAATACAAATTCTTCATACATAAAAACTTGATGTTTAATTTTAAATTAAATTTGTTATAATGATTCTAAAAAATGTAATCCAGCATACTCTCGATATCTCGAAAACCTTGTTATGTCAAAAAAATATTTTATCTGCATCGAGGAAATACTAATTTCAAACTCCTTTAATTTTCTTTATTTCATTACTTGTTGTTTTCAGAAAATTATATAACAGAATTATAATATATTTTCAATGTACAAATTTTATAACAAAAAATTAAAAGATATATAATTTTATTAGATTTCATTAAATATATAGATATTATTTTTCTCAAATTCTTATGTGCGTTGTTTTTGCTTATAAATATATTTATGTATATACCAATATATTATGTGGTTTTATAAAGAGTATATGTGTGCCATTTTATTCATAAATAGTTGGAGAAAAGTAGATCGCGAGGAAAGAAATTTTAGGTGTTTTTATTTATTACTGCTGTTGGGTATATTTCTGTAAAAGGGAACACTACTATAAAATATCAATAGCAATCTTTGATAATAGGTTTTTATCATGTTAACTTCTTTACTCTAACTACTTAACTTAAAATTTTTTAAGTTATGTGAATAGGTTGTTGGTCACTAAATTGATTAGGATCAGATGAATTAGAAGCATTTGTTTTGAGAACTAGGATATTAGAATCTAGTATGAGAATTTAAGCTATGAGTTTGAATTTTCATTCTAAGAAAACACACAAAAATGCATTTATTCTAGGAATATTCTAGAAATTAGTCTAGAGCCAAAGAATTGGACATTTAGTGAGAATTCAAGTATTCATTCTGTGAACAGAAAATTTTATATTTATTTTGGAATTTGACCTGAATGCGAAAAAATTGGGCACTTATTGGGAATTTGAACTTTCGTTTTAAAATATTTTATTAAATTGAACTTTTATTTTGAAAACGGAAAAAATTGACATTTATTCTATAAGTTTAAACATTTGTTCTCTAAATTTTAGCATTTATTTTGTAAATTTGAACATTTATTCTAAAATTTGATCCTTTATTCTGAAGGCATAAGAATCGGATATTAATTCGAGAATATTCTAGGAATTTCAGAACAGAATTTTGTTTTGAGAACTGAAAATTCTGGAATTTGAGCCCTTTATCTGAGTGCAGAAGTATATGATAGTTAATCGGAGAAATTGAATATTCATTTTGAGAAATTTCTAGGAATTTGAATATTTATTCTGAGAACAACAAAGTTTGGCATTCATTTTAGATATTTCATCATATTCATCCTAGGAAGCAGAATCTTATGAACAATAACCACCTGAAGAATTTAATAATTATGAAAATAAACTGTTATTACATTCTGTACCTTTTATGTGAAGAACTTTTCAATATCAAATACAATTTTACTAGCCACTAGAAACAGACTACTCAACTGTAAGGCTCAGGTTCAAGTCATTGGTTCTAGAAAATGAGATTGTATTTCTCATCAGCAACTTGGGTTTTCCATAGCTCTATAATAAAATATTTAAAGTTTTTATTTTCAGGGTTGTCACATGCGACTATTTGCAGCTATTTTCGGCCTAAGGCGACTACAACAACTTTTTTTGGTTGAAAAGGCTAAAAATGCAACAATTTTCAGTAAAAAGAGACCATTGGGAGACTTTTATGTACTTCTAGAAATATGCTGTAATAAAGCATTTATAATAATAATTATAAATGCTTTATTTAGCATAAATTAGGTTGACAGCCTGCGGGAGCTTCTGAACACAATGAATTTTTTTTTTATTAAAAAATTAAAAATTTTGATTTGCAAATTTGAATCATCACTTTTCAATGCACTCAAGTTGCACTAATCCCATTGTATGTCTATTTTGTTTCTCGATCGCCTTTTCAACGGTTATTGCTGCGAAATTTTGCATGATTTGAAGATACTCAATTTTCAATACGATATTACGATGCGTGAATCTCAAATTTGAGTATTCACTTTTCACAATATATATATATATTTGCTAAATAAAGTATTGACAAAGAGGAAAGTTTTTAGAAAAAAGTATGTTTTATTTAATGAAAAATTATTTTTTTGATTAATTTGAGTAATTTAAATTCTCCCTGCTAATTTATTAATTTTTTTAATATCAAAATGTAGTACTAGAGCACTAACGTTTATATAAAAATTATCATATTGGGCACCAACTTGACTAAATGGATCACGGTATATGATAATTAAGTCATTTAATAAAGCTGTAGTCATATTATTGTAGAAATTTTGTTCTTATTTAGGCAACTATTTTCATAGTTTTCGGCAACTATTTTTGTGCTACTGAAAGCAACTATTTTGTTCATTTTTTTCTGTGGCAACCCAGTATTTTGCTTCACTTAGAAAGTATTCTAAAATTCCAGCCTGTCAGGGTGACAATTTCTTTGTGTTGGAAAAAATTGCAGCATTGCTTTAATCGATCCTGGAATCATACTTTCTGTAATCTTTTCTGTTTGTCAAAGCTGTAGTCGGCTTAATTTAAATTTAAAAAGCTTTCAGAAAATAGGGAATTTAAATTTAAAAAAATTGCCTCCTGTGATAAGCTAACTTAGAAAAGCCACTTTTTTCCCGCTTCATGTACAGAAATGTGTATAAATAAGTTGATGTTTGTGATGATGTATTTTGTAAGGAATTTTTACCAAGAAAGAAAAAAGACTGACTTACTTCAAAATTTCTATTTTATGTTATATCTCGTTGTAATGCTTGTTGCTGTTTAGCGTATTTAATTGCCTGAATGCATCATAATTTAATTTGTGATTTCATGTAATTGTCAGTTCAATTTAAATCGTTATTTTTTTATGTTTAACTTTGAATAAAGTTTATTGAATGAAATGAAAGAAGTCTATTTTTCTTTAAGAGAGGAACATAAAGAAAAGTTTGTTTTTTCTTTCTAACAAGGTTTGTGTGACATGAAATTTCACAACTTTTTCAGTACAATTTTGAAACTTAAATTAAGTTAATTGTTTTAAGTTATTTATATTCAGATATTTTTAAAAGAGGAATAAGTTCAGTTGGAAAGTTAAGGGTTAGTACTTGAATTAGTTTAAGAATACTGGTAAGGGTCAATTGACTGTTATTTTTTGAAAGATGAATAAGTTGTGGGGATAGTAGAAATCGACTCTGTCGACCGTCGTCTATGAGAAGGTACCCCAACAAAGAATCTAGTTAACATGTCTTATATTCTATTTAATATTAATATTTCTAATATTAATATTAAATTATTAATATTTTTGTAGTGGTAAACACACTGCAGTACTCCCCCGCAAGAAGTATATCTGTGATAGAATTTGATGAACGGATACCACTAGTTGCTGTTTTGTGAGAAGCCGGGAGAGCTGTGTTAAGATCACCGCAATATTTGAGTGCTGATCATGAGAGCTGTATTAAGTTCACGGTCGTGATCACTCTTGTGTTGCCTTAGCAGTCGAGTGTATACGTTGTGTGTGATCGTGACTGAGAAGCAACAGCACGAGGAGGTGGATAATGTCGCAGTTACAAGTAGCAAGTCAACATTTCAATGTGGGCCATCCATCAAAGTAGGCGTTACTATCAAGATAGGCGTGTTCACATCACATCTGGGTCACCAATGTGGGGATAATAGAAATCGGCAAGGTCAACCGTCATTTCTGAAAAGATATATCTACATAGAATCGAGTTAACATGTCGTACATACCAGTGAATTGGAATAGTATTTTTGTAGTGGTAGACACACTACAAAATAATTTGGTAAGGGTTAGTGCTTGAATGAATTTAAAAACACTGGCAATGAATATGGGTCAGTGTTTTACTCGGTAATTTGATGAAAATTAACAATGATTATTAAAAT